TTCTATTTGATTTATTATCAAACTATGTGATATTTTATGAAAATCAGTTAGATCAGACTATTTATATATGATAAGATACAGCCTGGTAAAAGTGATTAGTAAGTGATGAGATATTACAGTTATCACACCCTTTTAACTGTTAACGTAGGTAAATAAGTTGAAAGAAATAATAAAGTGAATATTTTTTATATGAAATAAAATCGATCAGTGGTATGTCTTTGCAAATGGTTGCGTTTTTTTAACGATAAAAGAGAAAAAGAAAAGATAAATATAAAAATTAAAGATAAAACCAAATTGTAACAACAAGTAAATAATTATTTATTTTATATGCATAAATAATTTGTTAAAAGTCTTAAAATCATACAAAAAGTAAGAAAAAAAAAAACTTCAAATTAAAAAAAAGAAAAGAAAACTTAACAAACTTAAATAAAGAAAGGAAAAAAAATAAAAATAAAATAAAGTAAACAAATGAAATAAAAATTAAAAAGTAAAGAAAAGAAAACAAAAGAAAAATTAAGTAAGCTAAGAAAAAAGAAAGAAGAAAAAGTAATAATAGTGCAAGAAGATTGTAGTGAAATTTTAGAAGAATTTAGTTTGTTTATTTTAAAAAATTTAATTTTTTTCTTTTTTCTTTTTTCTTTTATTGTTTATTATTATATATACTTATTATTATTATTATTATTATTATTATTATTATTATATATCTGTATAGTTTGTTAACTTAGTTACTTTAGTTTTACTTATTAACTTATAATACTTATAGTATTTTTATAGTATAATAAAATAGCATTTCTTCATTATTTTAACTGTTAAATAAATATTTTTTTTTATTTTACTCTTTTATTAATTGAATTATATTTATATTATTAATAAATACTATTATTATTTTTATTATTTTTGGTTATATTCACTGCAAAGATTGTTTCAAGAAAATTAATAAAAACCATCACTACCTTCAGTTCATTGTCTAAACCTTTTTTTATAAAAAATGCTGTCATCTGAATCATATGAAATTTAGGATATTGAAAATCTCTAAAACATTTTGGTTATGTATTTCATGTAAAAAATATATTTTTCCATTTAGTTCTTTATCTGATAAGGAGCTGTGTCTGCAAACAATACATGATAAAGTGATTCATATTAATGAACTCTCAAACAACATATCATCTTTTCCAAACACCATAGAGTCTAATCTTAAAAATGAACTTAATGATTTCATTTCCCATCAAAATGATTTCATTTCCCATCAACTTAATAACAACAATGACAATGACATAAACCTCAAAGAAAACCCTATTAATTGTAAATATATGGGCATAGAATGTTTTAACTCTGCCAACATCGACAAGATAATTTTTCTTTTTTTCATTTAAATATTGCTTTTCTTGTTAAAAATCTTGACGAATTAAACTCACTTTTATCTCTTATTAACCATGAATTCTGTATTATTGGCATAACTGAAACTAAACTAAAAAATGACATCCTACCAACTATCCCATTATTGGCTGTATTTATCGCCATCCTATAGTATGGATATTTCAGAATTTATTAAATCATATTTAATTCCACTTTTTGAAAAGCTATCTATGGAAAAAAATAAAACTACTTTTTTAATGGGCCATTTTAATGTCAATCTTTTATTAGCAAAATCAGATAATTTCGTCTTTAAATTTTTAGACACCATTGCTTTAAATAACTTTCTTCCTTTTATTTCATTGCCAACAAGAATTACAAATCACTTTATAACTCTAATTGATAACATATTTTCTAATGCAACTTCTACAAACATTTTTGCCACTAATTTTACTTCTATGGTATCAGATCATTTACCCCAATTTTTAATACATCCATTTTATAGAAAAAAATCAATCCTCGTAAAAGCTGCATTTTTCGTTGCAATTTAAAAATGTAAATTGCAAGGAATTATGTAGTGATTTCTCAAAAATTAGCTGGACTAATATAATCAATTTCAACGAAGGTAAGTCTAATAAATAATTTAAAGAGTTTTTCACAAGTTTTAATTCTCTTTTAGATAAACATGTACCATTAAAAAAAGTCAGCAATTGTTGCTTATCAAACCTTGGATAACACAAGGAATATTGACTTCAATTAAAATACGAGATAAAATATTTAACAAAGCAAAGAATCCTAATAACAAACTTAATCTAGAAAAGTCTTATAAAACATATAGAAACTTACTTGTTACTCTCACCCGTCGTAGTAAAAATAACCATTACCCTAAGTTCTTCTCTGATAATGCTAAAAATTTGAAATCTACAAAAGATGTAGATTTCAAATTTGTATTAGGAATATTTTAAACATTAGTTAGAGAGTTAACTCATATTCTTCATGCTTATCTTCTAACAACTCCATGATATTTGAACGAATTAAAATTTTAATTATATTTTAATTCATTCTTCATTTCAGTTCCAGAAGAATTACAGAAAAAGATTCACTCATCTAATACTGACTTTAATAAATATTTTAAAAATACCAATTTTAAATCAATATTCGTAAAATATACAGACAAAAATAAAGTCTTATCGATTATTCATTCTCTTAATGACTTTGGTACCTAACAGCATTCCAATACCTATTTTTAAAGCTCTTGCAAATGCTATCTCTCCTGTACTTTCTAAACTATTTAATCTATCATTGTATCAGGGTGTATTCCCTGATAATTTAAAAACTGCTTCTGCTATTCCAATTCATTAAAAAGACTCAAAACTTGAATGTAATAACTACAGACCAATTTCATTATTATCAAATGTCAGCAAACTTTTTTGAAAACTTATGTATTCTCGTATTTACAACGTTTTGAATAATTCTGCTTGTTTACATATTTGACTGTTTGAGTTTGGCTCAAATTACTCCTCTTCTCATGCTTTTGTTCCATTCCTTTTTTGTTCTCATATTTCTATTCAAACTCAAAAAATTTATTCTTCTTTAATCTCTTCTCACCTTTACTATTGTTGTATTGTTTGGGGTCAAAAAAGAAACTTTTTACTTAATAGCATTGCTAGTTTATAGCGAAATAATTAATTGTCTAAATAAATAAATGTTTAATTAGTCTTTTTGTGTTTGACTTTCTCCAAAATAAAATTCCACACTCTTTTTTAATTTTTTTTATTAAAACAAATAAATTTCATAATCATCATACCAGGAATGCAGAAAATAGTAAGCCATACTCTTCTTTTTTCAACACAATTAAATATGGTAAGTTTTCCATAAAACAACAATGTATTTCCCAATGGAACCAGCGTGTTCCTGCATTATTAAAAAAGTCTAAAAAACTATCCCCTTGTTGCGGATTGTTTACTCAGCAAAATTCAATTTAAAAATATATTGTTGGAGTGTATTTCTTTATAATTTCTCTCTGTACTGTAGTTGTCTTCAATATATAATTTCTTTAACGAATGAGTGGTTTGATTTTTGCTTTATTTGTTATTTATCTATATTATATTTATTTATTATTGTGTTATTATTGCTACATTTTATGTTATTATTATATTTAATTATTATTTGTTTAACAATCTTTTCTTTTTTTCTCTCTCATATATATATATATATATATATATATATATATATATATATATATATATATATAAAATTATTATTTACTTATTTTTTCAAGAATTTTATGTTTTTTAGGTGTCACTCCATTGACTAATTTGTAACTATATGAGTGACAACTAACCAAATTCTATTAATTTACGATGAGATTTGTAAATTTTTATTGATATGTTTAAATAAAAAAAATTAAAAAAATTAAAAAGCTGCAAACAAAGAAGAAACAATGGGGTAGGGTGAGGGATGACTTAAAATCAAAGAAAAGAAATATAAACTTACATGCTTGCCTGAATCCTCGAGCTTATAAAGGAAGTGCTGTTTTTAACAGAGACAAAGTACAATAGCCCACAAAGAAAATCACAAAAAAATTAGACTTAAATTGTTATAAGATAAAAGTTTTTTAAAATATGAAATCTTTAAAATCTGAGCTACTTATTTAAGAACAAAAAGAAAAACAAAATACAGAAATTCAAAAACTCATATTTTATTTTTAAATTAATCTGGTCAATAAATTTTCAAATAATACAATAAAAAATAAAAGGTTTATGAAAACTTTAATTTCTCCTTTATGAAATTTCACTAATGGTCACAGTAATATTTAAATGTAAAAACATTCAAAGCCTAGCCATATAAAAAAATTTCATTAGGAGACCCAAATTTTAATATAGGATCCCTAAGAAGGTAGTTCTGGCCTTATATAATAATTGAACATGAAGAAACTAACACTATGCATAGAATTCATCTCTGAATTCTGGTTCAAAAAGCTAGATCTGGCATATTCTAGAAACAAACATCTTTTCACATGGTAACAATAATTATTTATGTAATCGTAGTAATTCATTTTATTTTTTAATTATTCAAAAACAGCTGAAATTTTTCTAAATTTATTTTGCAAAAGAAATCTATTGTTTTACTTTTTTGAGAAGGAAATGGAGCTATAGCAAGCCACTACACCTTTTTCTCGAAATCCAATATTGCAGCATTCATCAATATTTATTTTTTCTTTTAAAATCAATATTTGCAAATAATTTGCTAACCAACTATTATGATAACCAGATATAAACAAAAATTATACCAGGTAAATATAACCAGGTACAAGTAAATATAACCATTAAAATATTTAGTTTGTTAAAATTAATGCTTGTAAATTAAATTGAGGCTTAAATACATAAATGTAAATATTAAAGAATAAATTTATAAAAATTTATTAACTACCAGATATAACTAGCTACAAATAAATTATTAACAGTTTCCTTCCTCACACAATATATGTACAATTGCCAACACATATGCTTAAACCACAATGATGTTAATATGGACAGTTTATGTTCTGTTTATCCATCATTTATGTGTATTTAATGATATTTATATTTTATTTAATCTTTTGTATGATTCTTTATTGCATGCACTTTCTTAACAAGAGTTTTTAGTAAAATTACAGATGATCTGGCGTTAAACATTGCTTTGGGTAATATTGATCCTATCAGTCACAAAAGACTTTTAAATTTGACAGATTTTGCTGTAAGAAAATGTTTTATAGTTTTTTTTATTTATTTAGGGTTAGTTATTAAAAGATTCTTTATTAAAAATTTTTATATTGAACTTCAGTCGGGTCCTGCAAAAAAAGTTACTCACCTTTATCAGAATTTTGACTCACAACAACAATGGCTTGCAGCATCTAAAGGTGAATCAACTATCCAAAAAAAAAACATCAACAGTTCTAAATTAAGAACACAAGAGAACAAGCCCAAAGATTCTTTATTTGGTCTTCCAAACAAATCAACAACCAAAAGTTTAAATCAAAATAAATGCATTGTAGAAAATGATGATTTAAGTTTATCAAAAGAATGCACTATGAAGATAGAAGCTAGTAAATCTTTAAAGAGATTAAGAAGTCCTGGTAATTTATCTTTTTTAATAAATAGAATATAATAACAATAGTATATTATTACTATTTTGTTATTAATAGAATATATATATATATATATATATATATATATATATATATATATATATATATACATACATACATACATATATATATATATATATATATATATATATATATATATATATATATATATATATATATATATATATATATATATATATATATATATATATATATATTACTTGATTTGTTATTAGTAGAATATATATATATATATATATATATATATATATATATATATATATATATATATATATATATATATATATTGATACTAATCAAACTCTCAATAACAAGTTATTGTGCACTCAATAACTTTCCAATTTTCTATCAAACTCTCCACAAAAAAAAAGACAGTAACTGCGTTAAAAAACTCTAAAGTTTAACTAAGGAACTTTTATCACTATCATTTTTAATACTATTTTCTAACTTATATGGTTTGTACAGGTTTCATAATTCTATCTTCTACATTAAATAATGTAATAGAAGGATTGAGGAATTTTTACAACCAGATGTCCTCCCTAGTTTTGTTGATGAAAACTAAGTATTTTTGTTGTGATACCTTGTACTAATCATTTACATCAACCATACCACATGCCTTTAAGCATGTTGAACATAAACTAAAATGCTGGGTTCATTTTCAAAGTTCCTAGGGTTTCTTCACAAAAACACATTTTAAAAAATATATGCATTACTTGTTTCAAATTTTTTATTGTTCTTTTTGAAAGGAGGGCCTGTGAAACATGATAAGTATTCTATTAGTAATACAGTTATATTTAGTAATATAACGGACGAGCTGTGTGCTATATTAGAGAAAAAATATAGAGGAAAGACAAAGTAAAAAAATTCATATAGAACCTTATTCATATAGAACCTTAACCAAGCATTAAGATAGAATTGATGAAAAATCACAGACGTTTTTAAATTGACTACAAGAGTTTTATATTGTACATCAAGAAGCAACTGATATTTTTAAGTGATATAATTAAGGAACACTAAATAAAAAGAAGATATGAAGTTTTTAGCTGCTTTAAAGGATAGTAAAAAAGTCGTTTTAGGCTCTATTGACAAAGATTATAGACGAAAATTGCAAAGTTTTAAAAAAAGGAAACAATCAAGTGAAAAGTACAAAAAAAAAGTTATAGAGCAATTTTTAGAAGATTCTAGATGATGATCTAGATTATACAGATACAGAATTTCTTCCCCTAAAAAAAGCCAAAGAAAAAACTGTTTGTAAGATCACTTACTAATCCTTTAAAAGCTAAAGATAATCAAGCAACCGGGATCACAGCTGCAATACTAAAAAGTAGCGAAGTTGATTTAGACACATTTCGAAAACTTTGTTTCATCGATAATATCAAGAAAATTGGGCCATAATAGAAGATGAAATAAAATCATAGTTTGTTGATATAAACTGCTAAAATGTACCTCTTTAGACAATAATGAGGTAACTACTGTAAAGCTGAGAGATATGTCTTTTTAATGCTCTTGTGTATGTCAAACACTGGTTAACATGTCCGCTTGGAGTTGACGCTCCTTTTAATGATTCGAAACTTTTCAAAGATTTGCAGGACTTCAAAGTTATCAACAAGGAAATATCAGAAAATATCTCAAATATTTAAAAATCATTTTTGGTATTTAACCAAGGAGATTGCAGTTTTTCATTGTTTCCAAAAATGTTGTCTGACAATGAAAAAATTGTATTGTTAAGAAACTCCAATTCTACCAATGTGTTGAACTGAAAAAAGGTACATTAACCTAAAAATACAAAAATTCTTTTATTGACAAAACTCTTCTTTTTGAAATCCTTGGTGTGAACACTGAGTGGCTGAAAAACTCCTGTGCAAAAATAAGAGGAAAACAAACAAATCTTAAAGCAATGAACTTTTAAAAAAATATTAGAATTGTTAATGAGGTTGCTGAGAGAGGTGTAAAATTGAAGCAAGACTTTTCATTGTCCCTCACTAAATATAAAAAAAACAAGCAAAGTGTGTTAAAAGTAGTTGAAAACCACAGAAAATGTTTTACTAATTTCAGAAAGGTAACTTTCAATAATCATTAAGCAAACTTTTACCGATGTAGGGGAGAGTTGCCGAAATTGGAACAGCCCCTTAATTGGAACACTTGCATTTATTTTTGAAAAAAAATGACTAATGGCTGTATTTTGCATTTTTTTAGTAAAACGCATTATTTTCTACTTTTTGACACATTTTGAAAGTTATTCCTCAAAAAATGCATTTGTACCATTGATTTAAAGTTTTTTTGCGTCATTTTTTTTCAGTGATCTAATTTTGCATTCACATTATATTGGCTGCACTTGGTAAACTTATGGTGCTATAGGTTATACATTTTTTTGTGTTTAATTTGATGGAATTTAAAATGCAAAATATCAATATAAACTTATCTTATAAGTTGCTGCAAGCATGTTATTGCAGTGATAAAACAAAATAGTCCAAAGTTTCCTTGATTGGAACATTAAAGTTTTTTTTACCTAATCAGTAATAAAATCAAAGGGTTGTAAAAATAGTTTGAGTGCAATTTAAAAATACTTAGTAACAACCATAAACCCTAAAATAAAACTTTATTATTATTATTACGGTTTATATAGTGATTTTTAATCAATAAATTAGGAGAACGTCATAACAGTTAAAACTTTTATGCAATTTTTTGTTTGTAGACTTTAATTTTGTCAGGGTAATAGTAATCCTATAATAAGTTTTAAATTAACTGTTTAAATTTTTACTGTAAAGATAAAAATCATTTTTTACCAATTTTTGTTGATTTTACTGTTGTTGTTTTTTTTTTAAATTAACCTGTTCTGATTAAGGAATCAAAGTGTTCTAATTTAGGGAACCAGTTGCCTTGATTGGAACAAAATGGTACCTTTGCAAAAACACATTTATTTCCAATAACAGTCTAATCAATTAAGTCAAATTGTGCTTAAAAGTATAGTAGGGATGTCTGTTTGTATTATTCAAATCATAAATGTTTTCATGGTTAAGCCATCTTTGGTTAATAAATATTCGTTAAGTGTTCAAATTAAGGCAACTCTCCCCTAATTACTTTTCCTTATTTAAATCAGTTTGTAATAGCTTTGTTTATTCCTTCATATTCAAATCTATAATAAGTTAGAAAATGTGTTGTTATTTTTTTAGAATAATTTTGATAGTTACTCAATATAAGAAATACCAATAATACTATACATGAGAAATACCAATAAATGTGAAAAATTAATATTTATGATATTTTAATCCCCATATTAAACTTGTTATCATGGGTACGATTTTTTTTCTGAACATATATGTAAAATAAAAGTTTAGGGATTTAGGACACGGGTTGGGGTTGAAGTTTTGGGCTGAAATGTGAAATTTTGGGTTTTTAGGCTACCCATCATTTTCGGAACAATCTTATGTATATATATATATACATATATATTATATACATATATATATATATATATATATATATATATATATATATATATATATATATATATATATATATATATATATATATATATATATATATATATATATATATATTAGGGGAAGTCTTTTTGATGGAATTTTCGAAATCGAAGTACATACCCAGCTAAAGTTGGAGCAAATATGCTAAAACTTTGTCAAAATTTTTTTTAGGTCAATCGGGTGACTTTTAAGTCCCCCTCAAGACTAAAGTTGTTAAGAAATTGTACTTCAAAAAAGGAAAAATAGGGTGTGTTCAGGGTGTTTGAGGCAGATTTAAATGAAAAAATTATTTCCATTTTTTTTTTTCTTTTTGTTATTTGATATCTATATTTTCATTTTAAAAGGGTATGTCATCATGTTTTTTACATATTCTTGGTTAAAACGATATTTAAGAAATCAAAAAATGAAAAGTTTAATTTACGCAATTTACGAAATCAGCAAATTATGTATTTTCATACTTAAAGTTCATTCAGATGGACAGACGTAAAAATTCCCGCTTAAATCAACCAAAAAAACAAACTATTTTGAACTAAACAAGTAATTTACCATTTAATAAAAATCTTTACAAATACTATCAAGACAAAAATTATGCATTAATTGAAATAAGTATTTTAAAATGAATAACAATTTCCTAAATCTACAATTTCCTTTTCTTTAATTTAGAGAGTGACTTCAGGCTTTCTGATAGTTTTTTTTTTTGTAGTATTACTTTTTCCCACACCAAAAACCATGAAAGTTGACCTTACTTTGTCGACAGTTAAAAGTCTGTTCTGCTTGTCATCCTCATTTTCGAATCTTTGTACAAACTGCTGCATCATTCCGATTGCTCGTTCAGAATGATCATTGACAACAATTAACATTTTGGCAAAGTTTTCAAAATTCTTAAACGAGGACTGGGTGTGCCAATATTGGGGTGGAAGTGACAACCAGTCTCTCACTCTCTGATTATCCAACCCTATCATTGAAAAAATTAAATATGAAAACTCATTAACCAAATGAGAGAGGGTTGGTACCTTCATATTATTTATGATATTAATCTTGTCTATTCGATCTTTGCTTGTATGTTTAAAAAAATATGGCATTTGGAAATCTGGCATTTGGAAGGAAAGCAAAGCCTCTGCAATGGCTGTTTTTTATCCATAGAAATATTTTTATTCCAAAGAGCCAAGGGATTAATCGTTGAATCAAGATACCATGTATGCTTATAAAGAGATGCTAACACTGTGTCTACTGCCTCCGGATTGGAGCAAACTTTCTTATACTCTTTCATCTGAAAGATTGCATCAAGATCAGACGCAGGAGATTGAATTGCTTTATGTGCTTGAAGGTACCACCTTGTGTAAAAACATACTATGAACTCGCAGATGAGTTTTAAATCTTCGCGTAGATTATCATTTTCTTGCACAAATGTCAGTTGCTTGCACAAAAGCTGAAGTTTAAGGTAGTATAAACTCTTGCCTAAAAACCTAGCATGATGAACAGCTCCAGTTTTCTTTGATTTGAAATGTGCAGAAGGGGATAAATACTGCATGGTTAGCTCAGCCAACTCTCTTCCGTCATTCCTCATATTGCATTTTTTAGTAATATAAGTCTCACAGTAATCTAAAGTTTTCTTTGCAGCTTCCTTCAAAACTGTTCCTTCCACGGTTTTCCAATCAAGAGAGGTCAGGTTATTTTCGTCGTATTTGAAGTTAGGGTTCTCAAACATGTTTAAACTTTACGATTAAAGGATTTTCAGGCCCTACGCTATTCTCTTTTATCACTGCTTCACAGAAATGAACCATTCTAAGCTCAATGATATGATGCCTACATGCTAGTAGAAGAAGGTATTTGTCAACCTCTCTTGCAATCCTAATAAGTGATCCTTTCTTTTAACCAGTATTAATTGAAGTTGTATCAAAGCATACTCCGCATACTTTTGAAATGAGGTCATATTCTTCTAGTATTTTCATGATTCCTATATACATATCTTCACCTGAAGAAGACGGCAAGGCAGGTACTCCAAGAAGATGCGACACCCCCTCGATATTAACGAACACAGCTAATCTTTCATTCTTCAGTTTTTTTCCCTGATTCATTTCAAACAAAGTCTTTCCGTCAAAATAAATTATACAGGGATAACGGCTTTTTTCCACGGCCTTCTTTATATCTAATTTAGCAATTTCTGCAGTATCCTTTGCAGTTTTTTTCATCTTCCTTAATGCTGTTGAAGCACTGGCTTTGCATTTTGCGATATCAACTTCACAATCTTGAAGAATTGCTCCAGTTACTTTTTGTAAGACATTGGGGGAGACATCATTTGCTGTAGCTATGATAGATACATTTCCATCAAAAATATTCTTAGGGACTTTGGCAAAAATGTTGCAATCATCTGCTCTTCTATGATGCCAAACTTCGGGTTCAAATTCTGAATCAGAATCAGCGCTAGTGTCAGTGAAACTCAAGTCTAATTCTGAGGTAGTGTCAATCTTAGGAGATTCATCTTCTAGCCTTGTCCTCTTCCTCACACCTTCAGAAACCTAAAATTTGTTTTAACATAGTGTATGTGTATTAACAAATAATGTATGTTAAATTAGCAAATTTGAATAAAAAACGTCAAATTAACCCAATAAAAACAACACAAAACCTTTTTGCTAAATTTTCTATCTTTTGATCCCAAACTAAAATGTCTCGGTCCTTCCTGGTCTTCCAAAAAAGTTAAATCATTGTGCTTATTTTTATCTGAGCGTTTTTTATCCTTCCTAATTTGGTTCTTTAAATCTGTAGAACCAATCCAAAACAGCTTTTTCAAAAATGAAATAAACTCCCCTTGATTAACCTTGTCTCTAGCTGTTCCTCTACATTTATTTCTACTCAAATTTGAATACTTCTTGTCCATCTTCATAAGGTTCTTGATAATACTTTTATCTGACATTACTTGAAATCCCGCTTTAAGCCATGGTCTTTTAATTAAGCCTAAAATGCATTCACAATCATCTACTTCACATCTCTTGTAACCCTGAATCTTGTAAGGAGGGCATGATAAAATTGCTGACTTCTTAACATTATGAGGAAGTAGTGATCTTCTGTACACAATGTGTTGAAGAACATCCATTCCAGTAGGGAGTTGAAAACCTTAAGAAAAAAAAAATCAATATTTTAATTTTTAACAAAAAATTTAAAATTCAAAACAATTTTTTTAAATTAGATATGTACATGTAATAGCTGGTTTAGCCTCATTTATGATAAAAAGTTTGTTTTTGCTTGATCTGAGAAACTTCCTCTTCCCAATATCTTTTACAATTTTTTTTTTCCATTTTTGTATTCAATCTAAATATATTTAATGGTCTGTAATTAATTAAAAACTTCAATAAAATTTTACTTTATATTGTAATTCAATTAATAACAATCAAGTAAATACGAAAGTTATTTACAAAAATAAAATAATGTAACGCAATTTCACGTACAATTTATAAAAACTTTATAAAAACTCTTAGTGACTTAAAAATACAGTGCAGGATCTTCAGCACATTTTCTTCTGCATTATTTTATAAGAATTTTTTTATCGTTGCCGATTTTCATAACCTCTTGCGTAACAAAAATTTTATTTTTTCCTTTCGTAAATATCGTTTTAACCAAGAATATGTAAAAAACATGATGACATGCCCTTTTAAAATGAAAATATAGATAACAAATAACAAAAAAAAAAAAAAAAAAATTGAAATATTTTTTTCATTTAAATCCCCCTCAAACACTCTGAACACACCCTATTTTTCCTTTTTTGAAGTTCAATTTCTTAACAACTTTAGTCTTGAGGGAGACTTAAAAGTCACCCGATTGACCTAAAAAAAATTTTGACAAAGTTTTAGCATATTTGCTCCAACTTTAGCTGGGTATGTACTTCGTTTTCAAAAATTCCCTCAAAATGACTACCCCTAATATATGTGTGTATATATATATATATATATATATATATATATATATATATATATATATATATATATATATATATATATATATATATATATATATATTATATATATATATATATTTTATATATATATATATATATATATATACATATATATACATATATTTATATATATATATATATATATATATATATATATATATATATATATATATATATATATATATATATATATATATATATATATATATATATATATATATATATATATATATATATACATATATATACATATATTTATACATTTGTCTATTACTTTTTAGTTCTTTTAAATCATTTTTTTAAATCATATCTTTGATCTTCATCACTCTTTTTGTTGTTTTTCTTTTTTACGCAATATTGCAAAGGAAGTATGGTAGCATTTTGCAATTTGTTTGTCACTTAGGAGAAAGTCCAATAGAAAAAGATAAATGGTCGATGTTGTATGAAAAAGATCTTGTAGAAAATCATGTTCATCACCACAGTGTTTTCAATTCTAAGAAAAACATGCATAAATTCAAAAATCCATTTAGACAGGACAGCTACAATTGTCAATTGACAAAAAGCAGGTAAAAAGGTTTTAAGTTTTGTATGTAAAAGGAGTTGGTTATTTTTTTCTTAAGATAAAAGAGAAAGTACCCTTTCAATAGTAAATTTTTTTTTTCAGTTTTAAATGAAGGAAAGTTTTTATACTTTTTTTATATTTATGCTTTAAAATTTTGTATTCATTTTCTTTTCTTTTTCAAAATTTTACTTATTGTATCAAAAGAGGATCAGGGTAACAACATCAGTTTTTTCCATGTCTAATAACATCTGCAATGGGGCTATTTAAGACTCTTTTTGACAGCGTCAACCGTATTTGGGTGCCGCCCAAATTAAAATTTGAGGACCTATTTTTTTATGTGTTTTACGGCAAATATTGTCTTTTTTTTTTTGTTAAAAAACGCTCTGTCCAGCAACTTCTTTAAATATAATGTGGTATAATAACATCTCCCAACAACATTTGAAATTTCATTGCTGTCTAATAATATCTGTACAAAAATGAAATGAATATTGCAAATGTAGTTACATCTTTTAAATTATCAAAGTGTTATAACATTTGTGCAACTACTTCTGTAGATTTAAAGTTATTTTTAGTATGAATGAACTAATAATTTTATTTAGATGTAGTTACATATAGAATTTTTTCAGATGTAACTACATCTGGAGAAAATTCTTCCAGATGTTATTGGTCTTGGATTAAAATTACCAGATGTAGTTACATCTTTCTAAAGATGTTCTTAGGGTTGTTGAATTTTCAGATAATATTGGAAAGATGTTATTAGTGTGAAAGAAAAATACAGGTGATCTTGAAAAAAAGTGTACAGATGATCTTGGACTACTCTGCAGATAATGTTTGACAAGTGTTGTAATCTTTTACCACAAAACTTTTTTGATCTAATTCCTCTATAGCAGTGAGTTTCTTAATTAATCTTAACTCTAATCTTAATCTTCGCAGTGATGATTTGCAAAGACTCCATCATGCTTGGCTTGCACATATACTTACACACAGGGTGGCCTCTGGTCATGGAAATGTCATGGAATTTTATTTGGTCAAGGAAAAAGTCAAGGAGTTTCTAAATTTTCTTAGAAAGTCATGGAAAATTCATGGAACTTTTTAAAATATATATATTTTTTTTCTACTTGTAATATTTTTAGGATGCAAAGAAAAGTTCTAGTATGTCTAGTCTAAGTCCTTTTTTAAAAAGATATTTTTGCAGTGTCAGAGAAGTAAAAGAAAAGTTTTTTTAGGCATTTCAGAACATTCTACCATTTAGTTTTTGGTTTGCATGTTTTATAATGACCAAGTTGCAAATGCTTAGTGCATGGCAAGTACTGAATATTTTACTCTAGCGATTTATCATAAAAGTTTATGAAGATCACGGAAAAGTCGTAAGATTTCATTTTTAAATTTGAGTGGCCACCCTGTACACATCAATTCACCTATTTATTCTGAAATCAGGTTTGAATCCTCTGACCATTCTTTTATGTTTTTTTACTTAGCACCTTTTTTTTCATTTTTCCCTTTGTTATTTATCATTCTTCTTTTTTTCAACATTTCACTCAATTTTCAAGATCATTTATCCCTCTTTAAATGACTCTTTTTATACAAATGTCATTTATATAAAAAATATTACATCTTGTAATAAATACGAAATTAAATAAGACATCTTAAGTCTTATAATTTACTCTCTGGCAATAAATATGGTTTTTGATCTTCTCGTTTTAAAGCTGACTTGCTAACTGCTGTAACTCAAAGATTCTATTGTGTATTAAATGGAGGCAGTGAGGCAAGGGCTCTTGACATCAAAAGCTTTCAATAAAGTTTGGCAAGTTGTTTCTTAAACTTGTTTTATATGATGTATGTGGGAAAGTCTTTGGCATTAGGGCGATTCCATGTGAAAACATCCAGGGCATGCAACCCTAAGACTCATAGATTTTAATAAGTTATGATCATTTTCAAAATTTTAGCATCTAATTTCAAACGGTTTCAAAGGTATGACTCTTCAAACTTTGCCTTAAACCAACAAAAATCTGCAATTTTAAAAAATGGTTTTGGTAATTGTTTTTGTTCTGTGTGCAATGGAAAACTGAAAATGTTTACACTTACTTATTTCGAGGCAAGGAATACTATAAAACAACTTGAAATATTTAAAAATAAACATAACACCTGTAATTTTGACCATAATCACAATTTTATTGGGGCAAGTTTAATTACAAAAATGCCAATGAAGTTCAATTTTTTTTTTCAGATGTTGTTTTAAATAGTTTAGTTAGAGCATAGTCATAGTATTTAACTAGTCTGGAAACGTGGGCCGATGTCTATGGATTTTGCAAAATAACTTGAACTTTACAGGGTGACTGGACTGAGAGTGCATCAAATATTTTTTTAACTGATATTTTATTGCACAGACTTTGATATTTTGAATGAATTGATTGCTGTTTTAGCTGTTACTGAGTTGCTATTTGTTGGAAGCAGACCTCAAATTTACTTCAAATGTTAGGTTACCTAATTTAATTTATCCTTACCAAAGCGAAGAAAGTGTATTGTGTTTGTTTTGCAAGAAACTATGTTTGTTTTATGTGTTTGTTTTGCAAGAAACGATTTATATCACAAATTAACTGGTCGTCTCAACACCAAACACAAGGAAAAGATTACTGTTAAACAATTTAAGAAAGAATAAAAAAAATCAACAATTCATATTTAACCTATTAGGTTTTAAAATTATTTAATTCAGACTGCAGTAAAGCTTACTTCAGATAAATGGTACCCTGCTATAAACTGAGTTTAAAATCAAGTATAAATATTTCAATTATTTTAGAAGAAGCCATTACACCTTAGTTAATTTACAAAATATTTCCTCAAAACAACAAGTTCTTTTTAAAACCATAGCCAAAATTGTGATTTTCTTTAAAGTTTTAAAGTAGCAAATCTTTTTGCCAATGATATTATAAAGTTGTATCCTACTACATTACTAAACAAAATATTATATTATGACTTAGTGGGAATGTTTTTGGTATCTCTTATTCTACAATTAGTGTTTATTGTAATTGGTTACTGCTTAATGTGCAGTCTAACACTTTATATACAAGTTTGAAGATTTTATAAGAAAGATAACGTAAAAATTTTAAAAAAGTTAAACTTATTTCTTTGATATGTAAATAAGATTAATTAAAAAACACCCTTTATTTTAAAAGATAAACCTTAAAAAGGAAGTGTGATGACTTAAACCTACTAAACGGTTATTTTCATAGTCAAATATTTTTGTCAAAATTAACTTTCAAATAAGCTTTTCCATAATGTAATAAATTTTTTAATACAGTAAAAACATATAACTTAGGCAGCAAGTTTAATACTTCTTAATAAATATGTTGTCAACTTTATATGGTCAAAAATAAGTTTAGGTAAAATACAAAAACCACATTCTCTGTCTTCATAGAATATATAAGCAATATTATTCCACAGTATAAACATACTATCCTTCTACATATATCTTTTTTTATCTGTGTGTTTTAAGTTGGATAAATCATATTTGAATAAGACAGTAACAAGTTTTCTTATTTTAATGTGGTTGATCAGGTATAAATAATTCATTTAAAATGCCTTTACAACTTGCAATTAACTGAAGCTTCATCGAAATTTACAAGCAACAACTTTTAAGAATTTACTAATTCCGATTGCTTTCTAAAGTAAAAGAAATGTTTGTGATGCAGTCACACCACAAACAGTGGCACCAATTGTGATAAAATCAGCTAGATTAGTTAAGTATATAATCATACACTGCAGCAGACTTTAGAGCTATAGAATATTCATGGGATATCTTATTTTAATTGAAGATAACCTTAGATTTTAATTGAAGATTTTTTGTTGTTTCTCTCGAAAAGGAGAGGTTTTTTTTCTGCATTCAATGTAATAAATACTAAATCATGGCTTAAACTTATAGTCAAGATTTGAAATAGAATTCTGTAGCTTAATTTAATACACTGCTTTTTTTTTAAATCCTATTTGATTATGTACTTTAGTGATGCAATGTTTAGTAGCAGACTTTTACGCATCATTTTTTTTTGCATCAAGTATAATTTTTTTTATTTGCTATTATATATGAACATAATGAACATAACATTATATTCTTTTGAATTTTAGTTAAAGTAGCTTTGATGTACTTTTTTTAAGTTATATATACAATTTAAAATCTTTATTGTTTTGAAATAAATTTTATTTACTGAATAAGTTTTAATAATAAAAATAGAAAAACTTTTTTAAACAATGTTTATTGTTGGTATTGCACTCTAAAAAAAAGATAGAAGTTCTACCGTAGGATAGGATATGTGATATACTCTTAGTAAGGTATAATTTTCTACCTTTTAAGGTAAAAAGTTATACCTTTAAACATCCAAAATTTCCACCTTCTAAAGTAGAAAGTTATACATTTAGGTAAGAAAAGTGAATATAAAGTCATTTTTTCAATATAATTTAGGTTATAGAAAATAGAAAATTATGCCATATTAAGGTTATGCCACGTATCCTACCATAGGGTAGAAATTTTTAACTTTTTTTAGAGTGTGATAAGTGCTTTTAAACCATCTAAAATGATAAAATTGTACCTAAATTTTTCTTGTTTCCATATAAGATACCATCATGATATAAAAAGTGATATATATATATATATATATATATATATATATATATATATATATATATATATATATATATATATATATATATATATATATATATATATTATTAACTAATCCAGCTAAGTAAACTTTATATAAAATATAGGGTTTTTTAAGCTCTATTAGCTAACATTTTAAATAAATATACTCTGAATATACTAAGCATTTATATCAATAAACAAAGAATTGGAGAGTGGTCTTTTTTTAAACAGAAAAAAAAAATGGTCAAGTTTACTTAAATTTGTTACTTAAAAAACAGGAAATATGAAAAATGAAAGAAAAAAAAAGGTGGTACTCTCAAGTGCATAATAGACAGCAGTTGATGTTTAATACTTTTCGAAAAATTTTACCA